GATGTCCTTTCCAGTAGGCATACATGCTCATAGATCTATATGTGCATATGGACACACGCTGATGTGTGTGTGTATGTGTGTGTGTGTGTGTCCATGCAGAAGCACAAGCTCAAGGAAGAACCCAAGGTATCTGACAATGGCTGTGTGTCTGGACCAAGTGGAGATGTCTTTGTCTGTGTCCATTAAGCTTTAAGACCAGACCTTGTCTTATAAAGATGCTCATTTCTGATTGACCTCAGTTTCTCCTGCCAGTAGACCATTCTGCGTCCTCTGTCCCATCCCGGCCCTGCCATTCTGCCACTCCTGCTCAGCCCTGCTCCAGTCTCCATCTAAAACCTGAAAGCCACATCTCTCATCTTTTTGTCCTTTTCTGTGTTCTTAGAATGGAGGCGGGGGGAAGTCCTGGAGACAGGAACTACAAATCCCCCTCACACCAAAGCCTCCCCGAGGGTTACTGCAGTGGGACGGGTACTGGAGCTTCCCCTCCCTACCATTGAAGGTGGCTTTGGGTCACTGAGGCATGCGGGATTCTCAAATTAAGTGGCTCCCAAAGAGCACCTGTCAAGTGACCACCTCCTTGACAGCTGCAGGCCCAGAGTCTTGGCTGTCTTAGATAAGGGGTTATAGGTGCTTAGCCTCAACTCTGTTCATCTGGGGATCCACCTGAATCAGCTCACGTGTGCAAGCTGGGTCCCACTGAGCCTGGCTCGGCTGATGCGTCCACCTCTGGAAACAGTAACTTTTCAACTGACAAGCTGTCGCCCTGCCCCAGCCCAGCCTCTCTGCACCTAAACCTTCAGATCCTGCAGAGCCTCCTCTTGGCATCACCCTGTAACTGTGGAGGCCATCGCCACACTCCTTGCTGTGGTCTGAGGGGCAGACTCCCCTTTGGGGCCCACTTTGCTGTGAATTACTAAACTGGAGCACCAGGAGAGAGAGAAATGGGAGGAAGAGTCTCTTTGAAGGCCCTGTCCGTGGGTCATCCTGCAGTCCGAACTGGGTCAGGGGCAGGTTCTCACCTGTGAGGGAAAGTGACTTCTGGGATAGGGTGTTGGCCTCAATTCACTAGTGACTCTATGCCTGTTATTCAGGAAGTCGTTCTGTCATCCAGGAAGAGGTTTTTGCTTAGATTCAAAAACTGGACCCTGAGCCAGGACTGCTAAGGGGTGAGAGTAAGAACAAGCCCCACAGCCTCCCCGTCTAGGGCAAGAGACTTCAGAGCCCTGGCTGGGGGGGGCTTAGTCGGTTGGAGTGTTGTCCTGTACACCAAAAAGGTTGTGGATTTGATTCCCAGTCAGGGCACATACCTGGGTTTCCAGTTCAGTCTCCAGTTGGGGCACATATGGAAGGCAACCAACCAATGTCCTTCCCGCATGGAACTCTCTCTCTCTCTCCCTTCCTCTTCCCCACTCTCTCCTCCCTTATGCCATGGTTTACATTTCTCCCCCTGAAGGTCACAACCCTTGAATTGACAGTTCACAGCTCTCTGTCCACCTGGAAGTCCAGCACGTCAGGCTCCATCTTTCATAGTCTGGGCTGAGCTGTTCCTACATCCTGGTGACCAGAAGGCACCCAGGCTCCCATCCGTGTTCACCTGGCGACATCCCCTCTGAACACAACTTTTGTGGGCAGATCCTGGGAAAGGGTTCTGGATGGGGGCTTTGCCATGTCAAAGATGGAGAGAAGCTTAGGGATCAGCCTTGTGCACTAGGCATAGGGAGGGAAGGAAAGTCCCCCCTCCCTTCCCGTGTCTCCCCCCCCACCCCCCCACCCCTGGGCCATGCCTCCTGAGCCAGCACTGTCTCCATTGTCTCGCTGCCTTGACAATGAGTGGCTGCCCTCATTGTGACACGCCCACCAGCAGTCTGGTCCCCAGTCTTCCATGTGTGCAAGGCGGGTCCTTCCCTGAGGGCCTTGGATGAGTTCCCTCAGGTATCAGACTGGCTCAGAGCAGGTCCCTACTAAATTCTGCTCACCTCTGTCTGAATCTTTGTGTGTGTGCTCTTCCCCTGGCCCAGGACCCCCTTCTCTAGTTCCATCCATCCCCACACCCTCCCTAAATATTACTCAATCCTGAAATCTCAGCTTAAACATCACTCCCTTGAGGAAAATTCCCTTAACACATAAGGTCTGTCTCCAGATACAACTTCTTGGCAGCCCCTGTACTTCTCATTATAGTGTTATCATTCCCCTAACAGTTAGGGAAACTGTGGTTGGCAAACTCATTAGTCAACAGAGCCAAATATCAACAGTATGACGATTGAATTTTCTTTTGAGAGCCAAATTTTTTAAACTTAAACTTCTTCTAACACCACTTCTTCAAAATAGACTTGCCCAGGCCGTGGTATTTTGTGGAAGAGCCACACTCAAGGGGCCAAAGAGCCACATGTGGCTCTTGGGCCGTGGTTTTCCGACCACAGCCCTAACTATCTGACTTATCCGCCAGTCTGTTCATTTCATAAGCACAGATGTCCTTGCTACCCTACTTGCCACTGTGCTCAGCATTTAACACACTGTGACCTTAGAGGGGCTTCCACAGTAAGGAATCAATGAACAAATAAATGAACAAGCTAAGAAGAGAAGACCCAAATGACAAGTTTTCTCTGGGTTACCTGTCTGGCCACTTGTTTTCAGTCTCTTAGTTCATTATTTACAGGCTCGGTTTCTCATGAAACGGTCTTCCTTGGACTGGTTCCAACAGATCTGACCCTCCCTCAGCAGCCTAGTGAGTCCATGACTATCAGAAGCCAAGTGGTTTCTCTCCCCTCCCAGCGCCAAGAGACTGAGGTTCTGAGCCTCTGTGACATGGTCATGCTCCCCAAGCTTCTGTGACTATGACTATGACTCACTCACCCCACCCCCTGCTGGCTGGACAGCAGGACTCCTCTTAGTTTTTTCTCCCCTGAAGCACAAGAGGATCTCTTTAGTTAACCTGTAATCATTCCATCACCTAAAATGAACATTTGTATTGAGTGTCTATTATCTATCATACTCAGTCTACAGTATGAATTGTTTAAGCTCAATAGGATATAGTTCACACTCTCAAAGATCTTCTAATTCAATATAGAGACAATAGACACTGTCAGTACTGTGACAGTAGGATAGCACAGGAAACCAAAGGCACATAGGGTCAGATTTGCAGTTAGGAATGCTTTCTGGAGGGAGTGATGTGTCAGCTGAGACTTGGATGGCATGTAGAGATAAGCAGTGGGTCATGGAGGTGTGTGAGAGAGCGCATTTAGACTCAGATGGGAAAGCGTGGACTCTGTTGGGGGGAAGCTCAGCGGGGCCAGAGCAGGAGACAGGAGAAGAGGTAGAGTAAGCTACCAAAGATGGTGGGAGCTGTATTGATGAGAGCTTGAATCCCATGAGAAAGAGTTTGGATTTTATCCTGAAGACAATGAAAGCCATTGAGGGGTTTTAAGCAGGGCAAAAGCAAGGACTCCTTGAGAAGCTAGGTCTCTGGTGTGTGTGCGCGTGTGTGTGTGTATGTGTGTGTGTTTCATTTTGATGTTCCCATCGTCTAGCTCAGCACAAACACACAATACCTTTGTACTGGCTGGAAAACCTTCCCTAAGACATCTTCAAGACTCACTTCTTTCAAGTCTTTGCTTAAATGTCACTTTCTAAATGAGGTATTGTAACCCCATCTTCCCATTTAAAATTACAACCTGTGTCCCTTTCTCCGACTCCAATCATCTTTACACAGTTTACTTTTTTCAGTAGCACTTTTCACATACGTACAATATATTATACATATAATTTATTTATGTTACTGTTTAATGTCTTTTTTCTCTCACCAAAATCTTCAAAGATGCAAATCTTATTCGTATTTTTTCTACAGCCCTATATCAAGGTCCTAGAAGAATTCCTGGCACATAGGAAACACTAAAACAATATTAGTTGAGTATAAATGATGATAGTTATTTTTTTTTCGGGGGGGGGGGGGAGAGGAAATCACAGTTTGTCATACCTGTGGTGTCTCCTTTCTCCTCAGCTCCAATTAGCCTCACCAATAGTGAGAATTCAGGAAGCCCTTTAGAATATAGTAGAAGAATTTCCAAGTAAGTCATGACTGTACATGGCTACTGTAAAATGTAGCTTAAGGCTCAGCTTCACTGCCCTCTGGTGGAAGATATAGCTTTACTGCCCCCTTGTGTTAAGGTAGAGAAAAAAACCAAAGTCTCACAAATTTATTTTCTTAGTTACACATCAAAGGGAAATAAATTTGTCTAGTAAAATGCCCAATATTGAATAACTTTAAATAGTATTTCAAGTGTATACTGATACTGAAAAATAAGATAAATAACATTGATGAATTTTCCCACCCATTAGATAATAAACAGCAAGGCAGAAATTAACCAGAAATTCTATTCGATACATGTGAATTAGTGCCCAGGTTAAAGGTTATGTGCTCCCAGTTCTGACCTTCTGACCTTCTCTGGTGAGGTGTGTTATTTTCTTCAATGTATATTGCACGCTAAGAATAAATATATGTAAATGTCATTTGGTTATAATGATACATTATTTACAATATTTGTGTCACTTGTGCCATTTCCTTCTTGAGCACACAATCCCCCCAAATTAGAGGGGTTTGGAGGCCAAATTCTGGGACAGGAAGCAGAGTGTCAATGGGTAGGAAAAACCTCAGTGTTGGCGGCATCAGGAGCAGCGGCAATGGAATAGCTGTTACTTAGGGAACATCCACCTGAGACTCCCCTCTGGAGCTTTCCTTTCACATCCCTCTCAAACTGTTCAGACGTGGAGTCTACCTTAGTGGGAAGGTCCTATCTAGCTGGCTTATGGTGAAGACTCCAGGTTCATGGGGGGTTCCTCAGAGCCGAGGATGGGGGAATCAACAAACACCAAGAAGTCCAAGGTGCCAGAAAAGATAAGCTTTATTTTTGCACACAGATGAGGCTTTGGGAAGCAGAGTTTTCTGTAGCATTCAGGTCTCCTTAATCTAGGAACAGAGCCAAAGTCAGGAGGTATGAGGGTCCATCCCCTATACATCTAGGCAGCTTAGCTGAGGAGGGGAGAACAAGGCTGAGAGGAAAGATGTCCATTCGATGCTGGTCCTTGTCTGTGGATCTTTGGCTCCTCAAAAGTAGCAGATCAGCTGCAGCCCCCAAGGCCGTGGCAACAACTGGAGCAACAACAGTGGGAAGACTCCCTCACACAGCACGCAGACGGCTGGGGCTGGCCTAGGCAGACATCTGGAAAGCAGCAGTCTCCAAAGCCAGAAATACAGCAACTAGGGACACAGCAGGAGGGAGCAGGAGGGGGGCAGGGTGCTGGGCAGGGAGGAAGGGCCCGAGGGACCTGAGGGGCCTGAGGAGCCTGAGGGGCCTGAGGAGGGCACTTGGGTGGGTATTTGGGGAGGCACTTGGCAGGACGCTGGCACTTCTGCTGGGTCTGTTGGCAGGACATCTTGGAGAAAGTGTAGTTACTCTAAAAAAAAAAAAAAAAAAAAAAACCAATGTAGATAGTTTGAAAGTCCAGTGAATACCAATGTAGTTTGCATCCGTATCTTTCTACAGAGTCTGAAGTTCTGTAATTGATTCTGTGGCTCCAGGGCCCATGCTCACCGCAGAGTATGCCTGCTTTCCTGGCACAGGAGCAATCAGGCCATAGGTAAGTTAGAATTTGGTGATGCCTTCTCCTAACTGTCCTGGTTCTCCCAAGACTCCCTGGCTACAAAAGCACTAAGTAGTTCCCAAAGTCTTAAATTGCTTTGATCACATCTCCTAATTTATGCATTCTAGAAACCAGGTGTTGAACCCCGAGTCCATAGTTATACCACTGGTCCACATCATTTCCCTTTTTTCTTTCTTACATCCTGGGCTCTGCCTCTAGAGCTCCTCCCAACCGCACCGCAGTCTTGGGTTAACATTCAGCCTCCTTTGGGATTGCTACTTTGGAGCCAACACAATGATTTCCATGAGCTTGATCCTCCTGCCATGACCGGCTAGTTCCCACCTGGAGTGGCTTGGCCCCATTCAGTTGATGAGTGGCAGTCCCGGCCATCACCGAACTGCCATCAGGTCAGAAAGGACACTCACCTTGTTCTCCTAACCTCAGGCAAGCGATGGGTGCATCAAATGAAGTGAGGACACAGTGTGATCTGAGGACTTTTATACCTATCCTGCACCCAACACGAGGGAATGAGCCACGATGATGTGAAAACTGTTCCCAACCAGGTGGTTATGATGACGACTTCTCACGTTCCGGGGCTCTGTCATTTTGTCACGCTCAGTCACTATTGGGTCTTCCTCACGAGCATCATCCCCATAAACCTTGGAAGTATTTTTATAAAGATAAGAAGGTCCTGATTTATGAGGGAGTTTACAATGGCACCGCTTAGGGATTGAATTTAAGGTGTCTGGAAGAATCCAAAGCATGCTTGAGTTGAAAATCTAAAGCCACAAATGTTGGATCAACCAAGGAATAGAGTTCAGAGTTTCTGTAGGTTCTACCCACAGGGTGGGAACCAGCAATCTAAGCACTCACGGGGCACTACTGAGAGCTCAGTGTACCTGGTTCAGATTCCAACGTGCCTAAAACATTGACCAACAATGTAGCGTCATAGAAAGGCCCAGCTGGAAAGGATTTTATTTCACTGCTTACACTCCACGTGTAGATGAGGACTCTGAGAGCCAGAGAGGACAAAGGAGATGCTCAAAGCTGTACAGAGTCTGAACTGGTAGCCAGGTTCTGAGTCTCTGACACCACAAAGCCAGACACCCCTGTCTCTGATCAGTCCCTGCTTTCAACCTGCTTGGTTATAGCCCCTGAAATATATGTCTTTTCAGCTCCCTCTTCCTTCATGCTGCTCCCCACCTAATGTGTTTCCCTTAGTCCTGTGGTTAGCAAACTGTGGCTCTCGAGCCACATATGGCTCTTTGGCCCCTTGAGTGTGGCTCTTCCACAAAATACAACAGCCTGGGCGAGTCTATTTTAAAGAAGTGGCGTTAAAAGTTTACGTTTAAAAAATTTGGCTCTCAAAAGAAATGTCAATCGTTGTCCTGTTGATATATGGCTCTGTTGACTAATGAGCTTGCCGACCACTGCCTTAGTCCATCATTTCAACCATTCTTTTGCCAAGACAGTAAACTCTTCACCCCTTTGGCTTGTCAATATGCTTGAGTGACAAAACCACAACCCTGGCTGAATCCTCTCTGCTATGCCTAGCTGCTATAGAAATAATTTTTTTTTTAAAGACACTTTGGCAGGTTGGCATTATCATAAGATCACAATCATCCACCTAGGCTAGTTTCAAAGCAATCATATATATTTCTTCGTATTCACTACACACACACACACACACACACACACACACACACAATATTTCTCTCTCTCAAACCTTTGGTGCCTTAGATAATACTGCTGCTGCTTCTTGGGGCAAACAGTATCTGTCAAATGTAAGGTACCTGCCGACCCATGCCTGCACCCATCCTTTATGACTTCCTGTGTTAGAGGAGGAACAGCCCCCTTTGTTTCCTAATGCCTGACTCTACTCTTTTGCTCTGTATTTCTGATAACAACTTGATTGTATTTATTTTTTTAATATCTATCGTCCTGGATAGAATAAAATCTGGTGTTAGCTGGTTAACTCTTTATCCCTAGCACCTACACAGTGCTTAACATTCTTGTATATGCTCAAAAAATGTTTTGTTCAATGAATTAATGAGTGATTTGTGGGTGAGGTTAAGGTCTCCCTCCTTTCACTCCTTACAGAGGGTACCTTGGGAAGCAGGTCAGAGGCAGGCACATGGGACAGGTGTGGAATGCTACTCCAAGAATGGAGTCATGGATACTGGCCAACAATAGGGGCTTTGTGATGGAAGTCAGGGGTCTGGTCCTGGCTCTGAGGAGATTGGACCTCATGATCTCAGTACAGCTTTAAGTCTATATTTGCATTTATGAGCATCAGAGCTCCAAGAAGCTAACACATAGCCCAAGTGTTCCTTTCCTGGCCCCTTCTTTCTTTCCAATGAACATATTTTACCTGGGGGTGGCAATGTTTGGTGAACTTGATGAAGAAGGGAGAGATGGTCACTAGTGTGTCTATGAGGATATGAAATATTTAAAGGTAGGTCATGCTATGAGAAAGCAACTCCATCTAATCTGTTTAGTTCATCCTACTTATTAGAGGAAAATCACTTAACTTCTGGCCTTGTGCCAAAGCAGAGTATTGTGTACACAGTATTTGGGACTCTTGCCTAATTTGCCTCTCCTAACTACGATGATGAGAAACCGAGGCCCAGATATGTAGGGATAGGTAAAAGTATGCTCCTTTCCTACAATGGCCCCCACTGAAATATTACAAATTATTTTAAAAGGTTGGAAAGTATTGCTCTATCGTGTTGATCCAACACCATCAAGGAACTACTGATTCAATAAGAAAAAGTTATTCATCTCAAGAGAAACTCCCTTCTTATAGTAACTTTGCAAATACTCCTTCATGGATATTAATTGCTGAGTGCCTGTTTTGTGCAGGGCTTTGAGAATTCAAAGATTAAGATACTTTTTTGCCCTTAAGGAATGGTACAAATGGGATAATATGAGGAAAAGGAAGTTCAAATTTATTCTCAACCTTCCATCCATCAAGCGTATTGTTTGCATTGTTACAGCACCATAGCTTCTTGAGTTTCTTATTGTTAATCCTATTTTATAGATAAAAGAGACTAAGGCTCAAAAACAATCAAAGGTAGTCTGGAGATGAAGGACAATTGCTGTTGTAGACTAAGGGAAGAATACAAGCATGGGCACAGAGATGTGAAAGGGCTTGATCTCTCCGGGAAACAGAGGGGCCCTGATATTGGAGAAGAGTGAGAAGTGGGATGCTAACTGGATAGAAAGAAGGGAAGGGCCCAGAACATGAGAGCTTTATTTGCTGGGTTGTGTGCTTTATCTTATAGATAAGTGGTTTCCAAAGTATAATCTTTGAAGCCTGTTGCCAAGGATGTTTAAACATCATCTCCCTCATGAGCCACCCCCCCTGACAGTATGAGTTGCTCTGTGTTGGGGTGCTCCCCCTCCCTCCATGCCTCCACCATTGTCTGTTGCATCAGCTTCATGTATTTGCATAGTACAGAAGCTGGAAGAAGATGGGTCTGGAATTGGAGCACAGGCATTTGAACCGTGGTATGTTAATGGTTTTGAGCCTCATCTTTTTTTTTTAATCTATAAAATGAGATTAATAGTAAGAAACTTAAAAAGATATTGTAGTGCAATAATGCAAATAATGTTTAACAGATAGTAGGTTGAAAATACATTTTAATTTTCTTATTTTTACACATATCATTTTACTTATATGGGGGTTTCTAAAAACTTTGAGTCACATTTTAAAATACCATCACTTTTTTTTTAAAGAATATTTTTAATTAAAATTTTTATTTTTTTCGATTACCATTTGTCCCCTCTATGCGATCTTCCACCTCCACCTATAATTATCACACACATGCCCATGAGCTCTCTCTTTTTTGCTCAATCCCTCCACCTCCCCCAACACACACACACACACACACACACACACACACACACACACACACACACGCTGTCTGCCTGAAAATACCATCAATTCTTAATCCTTGACTATTTAAGTTGTCTAGGAGGAGGCAAAAATCTGGGCTTCCACTGGCTCCGTGCTGCAGAGAATTACACCTTTACCTGCTTTATATTTTGTAGCTATACATTTTATTTAACTTGAACACAGGATAATGCTGCTTGAAAAGTTTGATCAGAAGCAATTGGGGCATCTTTGATCATTTAAGTAAGGAAAGCAACATGGTAAGATTTACATTTTAGGAAGATTATTGGTATCAGGTAACCTTGGCTTAATTACTGAAGAAACTGAAGTCTGTGAATGGCCAGGCTAAAGTATGACAGGAGACTCAGAACTGGACCTGGACAAGCTCTTTGTTAATGAGCTTGGAGACAGAGGGACTGGCTGGAAGGTGACTGGGGGGTCTTTACTTGGCTGAGGCCTCCCTAAGCACAGTTCATGCATTCCTGGACTCTGCTGTCATCTGCCCAAGCATTCCCTCACCATCCTGCCCGCCTGAGGATTCAAACATGCTATGGATTCCTGCCTGTGTTAGGTGTGCCCCTTAATAGACGGGTGAGGTTCCAGGGAGGCCGGCATTGACGTGCATGAGATTCTTATCACACTGATTCCCAAGCGATGAAAGAAAGGAAAACAAGGATCTTCCTCTGCCTGAAGCAGTCAGACCTTGGAGCCGTCCTCCATTGGGCTAGAATCCCAGTGAGCAGGCCACATGTGGGTCTGACTCTGGCAAAGATCACTGGAAGAGAATTCACAGTCTTCCCAAGGGCAATGGAATTCGTTGGTCGTTGAGAAGCTGATGCTTCTCTTGGGGTGGAAGAAACACTCATGACCCACGTTCAGGAATTTTAATTTCTCCCAAGATATTGAAAAAGAC